GGAAGTGGGGAAGAGAAATGGAGATATGTACAGCATGACTCGTTGCTTTATTTCCAGAAAGTTTTGGTTGAAAGTTGATGGAAGGTTTTCTTTTCTATTGTTTTAATTTGCATTTATTGGCATAGCGCGGTTGTAAACTATGAATAGAATTCTTATTTTAACCAGAGAAAATACTTGAAATATCAACTTCATATTCGTTTGTTTGGATATATTTAGCCCAAACTCTTTTTGTGAGAGTTGGTGTGGGTAGTGAGCCACCTTCCTTATGTCTGGCAAGGCCCTGGCACCTGTACTGTCTGCCTGGATGAAGCAGCCCCAACCCAACAGCATGTGGGAGGTGTTAGTCAACAAAACAAACAACACCCCCATCCTGTCCCCTGTCTAACACCTTGCCTCTCTCCATTAACATAACTGGCAAGAGTGCTTTATAATACTTCTGGTTGAAATCATCACATTAGGCCTGATAGCATTACCCTTCTGCTTGACTGGCCCAGTGCCAAAATAAAGAGGGGACACAGAGAGAGGCAGACAAGGTTAATAAAGGCGGATGGGATTTCTGTCTGACTCTTTCACGGGTTGCTGAGGTAAGATTTTTCTGACACTCAATCCCCTCATTCACGGATATCATCAAATCCAAAAGGGTCAAATGTTTTAACACAGAGATGTGGAAATCATTTTTTCGTCTCTGTGCTATCTTACCGTTTATGTCTTGTCTGTATCTTATAGTAGTATAACAACAAATACAAAAATGCTGTAGATAAAGCAGCAAAAATACAGCTATCTGCTGCTGCAGAGGGGTGAATGTTTGTTGGATTATGGACAAGTCAATAACCAGCATACACAATGCAGCATCGACTGGAAAACAGTCAGGGCAGCAGGGAAAACACAGCTGTCAGGGTGAGGGACAGGTATTTCAAGGGAAAATACTGTGCACAGTTTAGTATAGCACCATGAACACATACATTTCAGGGATTACATTTATAGCTTTACATCAAGAATCAGGCCTGAAGATGAAATATAAAACACTAAAGTCTTGGCATTTATAAAAACAGTGGTTTCAAAGCAAATGGTTTAGCTGCGGTATGTTTAAATGATGGCATTCTGAATAATCTGGGACATCCACTCATAAAAAGACACACGTAAATTAAGATGCATGCAGGTATAATCCTTATTGTGTGCACTGAATGTGAGTGAGGACGGGGAAAGCGACGGGGAAAAGAAAACTGCTGTTGTCCAGTTACTAAGGGATTGGTCGTCACTTGCCTTATGCCAAATAAAAGTAGTGGTTATAGTATAAAAGAGGATAACCCTAGGTAACTTGACTTACAAATGAAGCATAGATACGGTACATTAATGCTCTGGTTATGAACTTAGAGCTAATGTCTGCCCTTGCACATAAAGTATTCAAGTCGAGAGCACTTCCCACTCATGGTTAGTCTCGCAAAGGACGTTTTCAGTTTGTTTGTTGGATGTTTTTTAAATTGTTTTGTTGCTTCGTCTGTTTGTAAGCATGTGTATGGGAAAAATAAGCCCAATTCTAGGAAACTTGATGAAAGGGTGTAGCATTGGCCAAGGAAGAACCCATAAAGTTTTGGAGTGGATCCGAATCACTTGGTAATAAATCCATTATAGAAGCAGCCTTGGCAGAGGTGTGCGCTCTCCGATGTCCTTCTAGTTCTGTATGTTTCTTGTCTCAAGACATATGGCCATACTGAAGCTTGATGTATGCTTGTTCCCTCAAGACTTTCTGTTGCAAAATGTCCCTTTTCTAGTTCAACATGTTATGTAGATCTTATCTTAAATCTTTAATGTTACTTATTGTAAGTCGCTTTGGATAAAAGCGTCAGCTAAATGCAATGTAATGTAATGTCCCAGACACAATGTCAAGTACTGCTGCAGTGTGTCTAGATACTTTGTTGGCATGGAAACAACAACTTGCCACTTCTTTAAACAGGGTTGGCAGAAGAAATTGAAAGTATATTTTTTGTTTTATAACTCCATCCATCCGTCTTGGATTCCCCAGTACAGAGTCTGACACACTGCAATATCTGACAGAACACATTAGTATACAAAATAAAGTTATTTTGTGACTCATACATTTTTTTTCTTAATAAATAGTCTGAAACCTAGTGTTAGCTGCGGATTACCATAAAAGCAATCATCTAGATCCTTCTTCCTCTACCACTCAGCTATTCAAGGTTTCTGCTTTTTATGCGCTGATGTTTACATTTGAGCACTTATTTTTCTTCCAATAAATCCTTCTTTTTTTTACCTGCTAGATCAACCACAGATTTGTACTGCTGTAGACGGGTGAGCCCCACTGGAGCTTTTTCGAGCTGCTGTTGATGGATGAGTACAGGACAATCACTTTGCCCACACAGATTTTCCCTAGCCAGTCTTCAATTTGAAACAATGCTCTTGTCTCCAACCACCTCGATAAATTCCCGGTCAGAGGTTCCTTAAAGTGGACCTATCATGCTATATTTGAATAATATAGTGTAGGACCATACCTATATAAGGCATATTTATACTTTTTTTTTTTCAAAATACCAAACAGATCATGCATTTTAGCCATGCCTCATTTTGCTCAATTTGAAATTTTTTAGCTCTGTTTTCGCAAGGGCAGATTATGTGAGAACAGCACCATCTACAGGCCTGGCATATGTACTACAGCGTCTCCAGCGCTTTCGAACGGCAATGGCCGTGTCTGTCTCCTCCTGATTGGTGGAGTTGGCCCAATAGCCGTAGTGCCACCTGTCCTGACGTCAGGATAGTGTTCAAATCTGGATCAGTTTTTATCAGATCCGTTGCAGCCCCTTTTTTAGAGATTTGGGTATGGAGGAAAATAGAGAGGGTTGTGTTTTCTGACACTTGGTGAGTTCCCTGGAACACCGGGGACACATATTCATGTATAAAAGACGTACAAAAGTGCATTTTGCATGATAGGTCCCCTTTAAGTGTTATATATCAGTTTTCCATCAGAAGGTTTTCACTCCTCGATTTCAATATTTAGACAACATTACAATGAGAGAATGTCTGGGAAGTTTTGTGTAATAATGGGTTTTAATGCGTTGATGTCAAAAACTAATTGTTTTTCAGACAGTGTGTCTTAACATAGATATTTTAAAGGGGACCTATCATGCAAAATGCACTTTTTTATGTCTTTTATACATAAATGTGTCCCCGGTGTGTCAGGGAACTCACAAAGTGTCAGAAAATAAAACCCTCTCTCTTTTCGTCCGTGCGCAAATCTCTAAAAACGGGGGTACAATGGAGCTGATCCAGATTTGCCATCCGATATGATGTAAATTACGTCATGTCGGATGGTGGACCCACGGCCCTATCAGAAACGTCGCTATCAGAATCAGTGCCCGACGTGTTTTGGACGTAATATGGTCTTTGTTTACATTAGCAAGCATCGCTAACACTCAGAGCTAACCTGTACTGGAGAGAGTATGTGTAAGAAGCAGGATAGAAAAAGGAACTCACCCTGTGGTAAACCCGCAAGAGAAAAAGCATTTGAGCTCCATACTGTTTCAGAAATAATCTTTGATGTGGTTTTGAACATGATATGGCGTTTCATCACCGCAGCGTTTAGACAGTATCTGCCGGGTCCCGCATGAGCAGGCATAAGCTCCGCCCCCTCTATTTTTTTCTTTTTCAAATTCTTTTTTTTTTTAAAGCTTTATACCCCGAATCAGCACTTTAGTAACAGGGCTGAAACGGAGGGATATGAGGCATGGCTAGAATGGGTGATCTGTTTGGTATTTTGAGCAAAACACTTCATAGACATTCATTTTTATATATTTTTATATATCTGAGACCTATGCTATTGCCTTGAAATAGCATGATAGGTGACCTTTAAATCTGCTGAATGTTTGATTTCTGGATCCCTGACAAGAAACATTGAAAACCCTAATATAATATCACCAATCCCCAAGCAATTGATACAGTCCAGAGAACAAGAGCAGCAGTAGTTCTGCCATCCATTCATTATTAGAGAGCACTAAAACCTGCTCAAAGCCTCTCGTAACTTACATTTCATTACTGACTACTTTCATTCCTTGTAATCCTGATAAATGTCTTCAATTTAGAGAAATTGTAAAGTATTTATGTTCCCTGGTGTGAAAGTGAGGCAAAGAGATTCTGAGGGAGACCAAGCAGTTTCAGAGATTGCGCAGTGTGGTTCAGAGCATAGACTCAAATGCCTGTGGTGCATGTAGAGTATTTTCAGAAAGCCAGAGAGAACAACAAGACCGCTAGTGTAGGAAGCGTGAAATCCCAGCATCCACTGGGGCAATAATGGAGTGACTGGTGTTTGATCAACACCACCCACAAATTCCTGCTGATACAATATAGTCATTTTGTGAGACTTAAATATGACTAAATGTTCTTTCATTCCATAAAGAATAACAGCTTCAAATTTGTATCTAAAAGTAACTGAGGAATATCTGTAAAACCCATAGCAAAAACTGTCTGTCTTGTGTTTCAACCCAACAAATCCAGTATGCCTCTTTGCACCTTCAAAATGGCATCACTACTTTTCATTTTTTTGTTCTATCTTGACACTCTTGCCAGCATGATAATGGGAATTGTTTGGACCAAAAGATGTCAGTTGAGCTGGTGTTCAGAGCAGAACCCCTGCAAGTGTTATCGCCGCTCCCTGCAGTACAATGCAGCACAAGTTACCTCACCGCCATAAAACAACGGTAACATTTGCCCATAGAAGTGCCCTACAGAGATCAGGCAGGTGTGTGCTGAAGAGCTTTGTGTTCAGCAGTGACAGCTATATTATGGCCAGTGTCTATCTAAAAAGCAAATGGAAGAATCTTTGCGATTCACTTCTGGTATAGCACACTATTTATATGTAAATTCTCTTGAACCAATGGGATGGACTACAAGCTGTTGAAAGGCAGTGCTGATGCTGAAACCATAGCATGTGGTTATTTTGAAGACAGATAATACCAACATAGGATTTGTAGGATTGGGAGTTACTTTACCTGCCTTAGGCCATCTTTGCTGTTCTGCATGATCCTCAGGACGTAGTTAGACCTCTGACCTTTGCTGTTGAATTCAATGTGGCCCGTTAGACCTTCCAATTCTACCTATCCAACACAGAGACAGCAACATGTTAAAATACCTCCCAAAGAAATACAGCCTGCTCCCTCTAAGCAGCAGCTATAATAGATCTGACTAGAGGCTACATTAGCACTACTGGCTCTGGATCAGCCTCTTGAAATGTGTCAAATTTATAATAATAATATGAAGAACGAGGCTGTTATATCTTCAATTTACCACAGAATAGACAAGCCATTAGTCAGGTCTTCTTCCTCTGAGAGAGGAAGACAAACAGTCTGATATCGAACACATCACATTTAAGCATTTTGATAGCCCTATCAGTTACAGCCATTTCTCCCTAATAGGATAACACATTTTATTCACTGACAGCTAATCTTTATCTCTCCTTCTCTGTTGTCTCTCAGTATAATGTAGAGACAAGATAAACTGACCTAGTGGATAAGGAGCGTATAAAAGATGAGAGCACAGACTATTATACAGTGTCATCTGTTGTCAGCGATAATATAAGGGCTTTAAGATAACCAATTAATATGCAACATCAGGAAAGCAAAAACAAAGATCTCAATAAGCTTGGCAATGTCTTTATCATTATCTGGTACCTTCTCATAATGACATTCCCTGCCCTTCTTGTTGTGTGAGAGAGTACGAACACAGAAATGAAAACTTACAAAACTGAGAAATATCTTTAATTAAGGATAATAGTTTGTCATTTTGGGAACATACTTTTCTGTCGAGAGTTAGATATCAGTTAAAAACATCAGTTCTGTCATTTCTGTGATTTGCTGCAAGAATAAAGCAACTGGTTAGTTAGCCTGGCGGTGTTTAAAGGTAGCAGACCATTTTTTGCCATGGCGCAGTGACTTTCTGGAGTTTCTGCTGGTTTCTCATGGTAAAACGACCAGGAGGTAACTGCGACCGCCAAGAAAAAGCATAAGCTTTAGACTTAGCAAGGCCGGCTATAATCAGTCTTTATGCTAAACTAAGCTAAAAAATAGCTGGCTGTAGATTTATATTTACAATACAGACAAGGGAAAGGAATCCATATTAGTTTTGGTGTTGTATTTGTTTGTTTTGGTGTGTTTTATCCTAGAGTATAGAGAAAAATAACTACATTTCTCAAAAAGTTAAACTTACCATCCTCAGGTAATTCATCAGGCTGGTGCCGTGCTCCCAAATCTTGGAGGACTTGCAGGAGAGCTGGGTGGCGCCAACATTTTGGCTACGGTTCAGCTCCTGGACGGCCGCCACCACCGCGTATACTGCATCAAAGAGCAGGGCTGAGGAGAGCTGCAGAGGGGGAGAGAAAGTGCACACATTATGCATTCACAGCTGCAAAGACTCCAAACTGCAAGTGTACCATGTCGGTAGTTAGCGGTCAATAAGGGGTTAACCCATCCCTGGAGTGGCAGTGAGATTATTCCATTAGATCATTAGAAAGACTCTGATCTGCTGACAGCGTCGAAAAGTGTCTCTCTCTCTCTCTCTCTCTCTCTCTCTCTGTCTCTGGGAGAGACACTGTCCTTCCTTCTCTTATCCCCAATGAAGCTGGCACATCCGGACCATTTGAATCACCGCCTGTTCTCAGCGAAGGCCAGCTTCAGGCAGCTTTTCCTCTCATCACCCTTGTACACACAGCCTCCTCGTCACTACCACTGCATCCTGCTATGTACATTTTATTAAAATGCATGATGCGCTGCATTAGAGGCCAAAGGAGAGTCAGTGCGGTACATCCGTGTAATGGAAATTGGGATGAAATGGCCCTGATGTTTGGTGGATATTGGAAGTGGGAGGGATGGTGATGCATAATAAATGTTGGATCAAAGAGAACAATAAGCCATTAAACTGAAAACCTGTGATGTCTTACAACCTTAAATTGGCAAACATAATTGCTGGATTGCACTTTAAAGCAAAATGTTGCGTACAAACAGCCTGTGAAGACATTACAATCAGCACTTTAGGTTTGACAGATGGGAATAATGTCTTAGTGTTTGTTAAGTCAGCATTAAAAAGTAAATGGCAAAGTGTTTCTGGTTATATTCCACTCGTATCTTATCATATTTATGCCGTGAAGCTAATAGGGCCATTGCATCTACTCATCTTTGTAAGTGGATAGGAAAGTAAATATGCACAATAGGTCTGAAACTTGTCTACTAAAATGATCAAGCAGATTTTATTATGATGTAATTTTTTTATTGTTTTTACAAAGTTTTCAGCAACATACTGTTAGTGATCTGTTGTAGTCTTTTCTCGGCGTAGCAGCTCTGTCACAGGTGTTCTCTCTTTGTGTGCCAACATGAGCTTTCACTATTTCGGGCTTGTTTTACAAAAAAAAACGTTAATCCTTTGGTTTTACTGGATGTTCTGTAACACAAATACAGTCACGTCTTGTTTATCTACTGATATTTTAGTCTACTTTTCTTCATGCTGATTTGAGAATATAAATACCTCCCCAAAAACGCGAGACATTTTTAGGCAGCGTTGTTTGTCCTACATTAATTTGTCTCCTGTAAAACTTTAAATCTATGCTGCATCTTTCGAAGTTGGCATGGTGCACGTCTTTATCTTTCAATGCATTAACAGTCTCAGATTGACATGCAAAGAGGTCACATGTGTGCATTTTTTGTACGTATGAGACCCACAGTTACAATTCCTACAGACCTAATTACAGTAAATGAAAAGACAGCATATTATCTACGTGCATGTCTAAATGAGTTAATGACTTTCTTGCTCTGCGTTCATCAGCCTTCTCTCTAGTTATTAGCGAATTAGTCACAAGTTCTAATTGCCGCAGGCTCAAAAGCATCCGAGTGACCTGCTGTGCCCAAAATACATTTGTACATGCTATTCTTAACCTGTTGCACCAGCCAATGGGGGTCATGGGTTTAAATGTGTTTATTTAGTTTTACATAGAGCCAGGGATTAATTCAATAATTTCCTTTACTGACTTTGTTGTTCCTAATGAAGCCCTTGAGAACATTTGCAAAAGCTGTTAATTTGCCTCAAATATGTTGTTCTTGTTGGGACTGTTGTTAGATGCTATTACTTAATATTCACGTCATGTTTAGAAAAGATAAGACAAAAACATTTCCATTTGAATTACTTTAAAAAAATGTTGGTTTAATACTTGAAGATATTTACAATTATACTGTTAGCTTGATTGGTTTCGACACTGATAAATGATTGAAAAAACACTTCAATATTGATGGCATTGAAGATTTATTATAGATTCATATGTATAGTATATTAGGAGAAAGTTAATTTCATCCACTGTTGACATGAAAGACATGACACTGCAATACTTCTTTACTGGACTCAGAAGCAGGAGTTCATCTCATAGCGGCTCAATTCCCTCGTTACTTTGAGATGCCGTTTTTACGAGTGACACTTTCTGGGTGAGAGGGCTTAATCCTGAGAGGGATTATTGGGCAGTGAGATAATACTCATAAATTGAGGTCTCATAAACAAGCGCTCATTTATGAATGGGTGGCAGTCATCACTTTCATGCAGGTCATTAACGACATTTTATCGGCTGAACAGCACGTAGACATTTCAGACAGGTCTATCTCATAAAACAAGTATGAGAGTGTTCTGCTGTCAGTACAAAATGTTCATTAAGGTGGGCTCAAATGTAAAAAAACTGTATTTAATCAAGTTTATTAACATAAAAACCTACAACAGTTGTACTTTCATATGTTAACAGTAGCTTAATGATTTGAGGCTGTTTTGAAGTCACTCATATATGCAGAGCAGGACATGTTAAACGTTGAGCAATCTTCTGATGATCAGTGGAATTAAGAAGAGCAAAGTTTATCTTATCTTTTGCATCTTCTTCTGACGGAAATTTAACAGGGATCCATTATAAATGTATTAAGGAAGGTGGATGCTGCAAATGAGTTGTCTGCCAAACAACAACTGCCTACAGCAGCACCTGCAAATAAAACAGTTACCTGGATGAATGTCAAACCGTGGTATTTTTGTGTATAAATGACGTCAGTATTTAGGTGGATTACTTTGAGATGCAGCAGTACACTGGAAACCCTGTCTGAACTTGGTATGGGAATACATAAAAAAGGCTTCAACCATTATTCTCACATGAGTAACCCTCCTCTTCTCTCTGTGTGTGTGTGTGTGTGTGTGTGTGTGTGTGTGTGTGTGTGGTGTGTGTGTGTGTGTGTGTGTGTGTGTGTGTGTGTGTGTGTGTGTGTGTGTGTGTGTGGGTGTGGGTGTGGGTGTGGGTGTGGTGTGTGTGTGGGTGTGGGTGTGTGTGTGTGTGTGTGTGTGTGTGTGTGTGTGTGTGTACTTACTGGGGTGCCAGCGAAGGGTGCATGGTCACAGTTCTCTTGCCAGGAGCGGTTGAGGCTTAGCACAAAATCCTGGAAGTAGGGATGAGTTTGGTTGAAGACTGAAAATCCAACTATGTTGACTTGTTGCTCCACCACGTCGTCCAGTCGAAGTAGAGAGAATTCCTGGAGGGCAAAATGAGAGCGAGACAGATGGAGATTACTGGGTGAATGCATTTTATTCCCATGAAAGCTGTCACATTCTGCCATAATCTACTTTGAACAACACCAAATGATACATTGAATCATTGTCAAGGTAAAAAGGGCATGTGTTGATCAAATATGTTTACATCCGATTTAATCCGCCTCACTTAGCATTCATCAACCCCCATTATTCCGGCTGATTGACATGAGAAAGCTGCGGCAATTTGTTCATTCCCACCATTTAGCTATGCGCCTCTGCACAAAACCATGCATTTTGAACTGGCCATATGCTATTCTTGACATACAGGCCATTATGTTAATACTGGATTGCAATGTTAAGGGCCTACATTAGAGCGAGATGGACAGTAAAAAGAGCCTAAGACGGACTGGAGACAGTAAATGGGGAAGAAAATAAGGACACTGAGACTGATTATTGAGAAAGTGAGGCAGAAATTGCATATTAAAATGCTCTGGGTTAGGAGGAGAGAAAAAACATATAATTTTCTTATTTGGCCATAGGGACATGGTGTTTTTTCTCCACCTGGGGAACAGCAGACAGGGGACAGGTGGAGTTAGAGATGAGGAAGACATGGAGGAGAGGGAATGCTGTGAGCGGGGATGGACGTTTCCTGAAGGTTAATAGAGGTGTCAGATCCTGGTACCCCCTCAGGTAGCAGCCTTCGCCTGGCAGCCTGTCGTGCCACCAGCTTATGACAGCCAGACCAGACACAGTCTACCTGTCTGTCACCAAGGCCAGGGACACTCTTGATTTAGAGTGATTGGAGGGGAAAGTAAGGTAGAAAATAAAAATGAAAGGGTTGGTGTGGGTGGGAGTAAAGAGGTGGCAGGTGACACTTGGTGTTGTAAAACCAGTGAGAGCAGGGGGCATGCGGAGAACAAATGGGAATAAAACATGATAGCATGTGCATGGGATACAGTGGTCAAAAAGAGGTAGAGAAGAGAAGCTAGACACCTGTTAATGAAAGGAATCAAATTTGTCTGGAAAACAATGATCAAAGCCCTCGACGACCAGCTTTAAACCTCCTGCTATGTAGAAACCCAGGGTGCATGTGGTACAACATTTAAGGAATACGCCAACATTTTTCAAACAACCCAAAACATTTTTTGCCAACCAAAGGGAAGTCATGATTGTGTTCTGGAGAATTCAAGCTAAGGCACGGCTATGCTGCAACAGAAAATGAAAAAAGAAGAAATTGCCTTTTTCATCTGTAAGAACAAAATGGATGAGAGGGATTAGGCAAATGAGATAATGGACATTCACACACAAAGAGGGAAAAGGGTCAGTGAATTAAATAACTGATAAGCAGGTAGGTGGAAAAGGCTCTCAGACCAAGAGGAACATGACTCATTTCAATGTGAAGACACCAGTGGGTGACTGCACTGATACAGCCTCGGAACAGAGCAGGGCGGAGGAAGCCGTAGATATTGTCCCAAATGTTTAGCTTCCCTAGCAGGCATTCGCGCAACTTTGCTGCATGTTGATTACAAACAACTGTGGAAAAGTCTGCTAAAAATATTCCAGGTAGAGAGGGTTTAAAATTAGCTACAAGGACAAGAGAGTTTGGGAGCAGCAAAGTTATAAAGTATGTGTGATACGTGAATGAAACATGTCCTGGGCTGAAGGAACTCTTCACCAGGGAGAATGTTGTTATATATACTGTATCTGCAGGTGGTGTGCTGTGGTGAACAAATAAATCATTTATATTTGTGCTAAGTGATTCCACATCTCCCAGGCATAAAGTGTCTTTACCTCTTCTTATATAATATCTTTAAGAAAATCGCCTGAGGATGAGAGAAGGCAAACATCTGATCCCATCTCTTTCACTTGGCCCAGAGATGAAGCTGATTGAACTTTGAAATACACAACTCTGATCGTTCAGTTTGAGTGGAGAAGTCTGACGTCCAATTCAAGAAATACTCAATCTGACCAGATTGTTATTCGTCATTAACAAATACTGCTATCAGATTAAACTGCGTTGAACCCTGAGGGCGTTTGTTACAGAACCTGAACTTTACAACATGCTCTTTAATCTTTTGTTTTTGTAAGAGTAGTACAGTATTTTTATGGTATGCCCTTCTCACAAGATTTCACAAAAACAACACAGAAAAAGACATTTCCCCTACTGTTGAGAGTGTAACGTTTGTTGTTCGATTTCCCACTGTGTACAGGTTTAGTTTCTGTGGATGTATGGTATAATTGACATCTCTATTAAAACTTTAAAATAAATGTCTAGTTATTTGTGTGGTCGAAAGTCAGCTTACAAATTTGAGGGAAAAAAGGCTAAGGGGCAAATCGTTTTGATACACAACTAGAAGATGAGGCAGCTACATTTATTTGGATGTGCTGCTTGCTGCTCTTGTACTTCATAAGAAATGTCTGTTAACGATGAGAATAATGGTCCCTGTGACTCTTTTACTCAGATATAAACAGGATTAAGTGAAATTGATAGCCTACTGACTTGATTTGGCAATTTTCTCAAATTATAAGAAAATAAATACAAAGTCTAAGAGTGCCAAGAGAGGGATTATATGTTCCTCAGTAAAACTAGATGAACAAATATTCCCAGTCTTGATCACGTCAGGAGAACATTTGAGAAACATTTTTGACACTGTCCTTTATTTATTTATTCTTGTTCATAAACTCAAAGGTGAATGCCATATACTAATACATTCCTCTTCATTATATGTTCCCTCATCTTCATGTATATTTAGTCATCCCTTCTGGGGCCTCATAAGCCTTTTGGGACTGGCCATATAATGACTTGCTAAGAGTACTTTAATAGATCATTAGAAGCAGAGCTGTGCAAACGAGTCTATCATTAAGCATGCCCCTCAAGCGTGCCTGTATGTATGCATGTGCATACACATGAGAGCTCACGCACAAACTCAAATTGGAAATTGCACGTGCACGCCCACACACAGAAAAATAAATCCCTATAATTGAGCAACCTGGGCAGACTCACTAAAGACCAAGGTCACCAATATATCCCAGGGCCATGTCTGAATAAAATGACTGTGATGCATTCGTGGGCTTTCAGGCCACAGACACTGGCACACATTCATATACAAATTCACACACATACATAGCCGGACAAAAGCACAGCCTAAATCCCTCTACATGAGCAATTATGCTCTCTTGCATACTAAATAGGTGGAGTGAAATCGCTGGTTCTTAGCAGAAGACAGTTGGTTCCCAGCAGTAGAGAAACGAAAAGGCAGAGTTGAAGGGTAGAAGAAGAAAGGAGTGAAAAAACCAACTGTCCAACCAACTGGGGTGAAAAGGGTAGGGAAGCAGAATGATGATGAGGAAGATGAAGAGAGAGAGCGAGAGAGCTATGGGTTGGATCAATGGAGAGAGAAGAAGGTGAAAGATTATTTTAGCACAACTGAGAGTTTAAAAAGCAGTGGGGGAGAAAGAAAGAGCGACAGAGTGAAGATGTGAGCGAGCAGGATGGTGGGAAAGCGCATGGGAGTGACAGTCTGGCCGTGGGCCCCCGACACCGGCTGTCACCTGGAGATCAATCAGCAGCCGGGGCCCGAGCCAACCAACCAAAAACTGGTGCTTCACCTCCTCAAATCTTGTCCTTCTTCCTCTGAAAACCTCCTGATCACGAAGTCTCCATCTTATCCTTTATTTATGACCCCTTAACTATTCTCTCAATGTCTCAAAGTTCAAGTTCAAATTCTTTGTCCTTATAGGGTGTGCAACAATTACAGAGAAGGAGTCATTGGCAATTAAAATATTGGGTCCAAGGCACCATACTTCAAAGCTCAAGAAATATCTATGAAAATTGTGCAAGTAGAGTATAGGAAAAATCGGTACCTAAGACATAAAATATAGGGCTAAGATATAAACAAATAAAGTCAAAAAAGGATAACACATTTGTGTGGACAGCATTGCAATAAAGAAACTGAATAAACGGTCTCATTGATAGAGATGGAGGCATGGCTGTTGCTTTCTGTAGTCAACAATTAGGTTTTTTGTTGAGTTAAAATCGAGAAGGTTAATGACCAAGATGTCAGGGCTACAAGCTTCCCTTTGCAGGCAATCTTGTTGCTTTCTATGATCAGACTGGTGAAGCTGTTTGTGACCACAAGAAGAACAAAAGAGGGCTGAGAACACTGCCCTGAGGGGCTCCTGTGCTGAGAGTCAGGTGGAGGATGTTGTAGTGTTCATCAACACAGCCTGGGGCCTGCCCATGAGGAGGCTCAGGATCCAGTTACAGAGGGCGGTGTTGAGCCCCAGGTCTCTGAGCTCGATTACAATCTTGAACCGCACAATGGTATTGAATGCTGATCTATACTCTGTAAACACTATTCTCACATATATGTTATTTTAGGCCCGTTGGGAGAGGGCAGTGTAGAGTGCTTGGGTTGATGCATATGCCTGTAGATCTGTTTGGTCTGTAGGAAAATTGAAATCCAGTGAGTCGAGGGGGAGGATGTAATCAAGGCTTGGAATGACCGCTCGAACCCCCTTATGATGGATAAGGTTAGTGCTAATGGACAGAAGTCAACAGCGCTTTGGGCTTCTTTGGAACCGGGATAATGGTGTACAACGTGGTGTCTGCAGACTGGAGCAGCGAGAGGTAAAAGTACTGTATCTCAGCCAGAGATTTCCCTGGATTACACCGATTGAAAGATTTACAAACATCGGCCCTGGATATTGGGAGTGGGCAGGGGTCCTGGGCCTTTAATATCCATCCGGAAAATAAAAAGTAAACATGTTCAAGCTTGATACCTCTACAGTACATGGAGCACAGCTGATGTGCTGATAGTATCTCTGAAGGACTTGCCACAGCTTGACAATGTTAAAATCTCTGGCCACAGTAAAAGCAGCCTCTCACTGTTACATATATACTCTTTCATTATTTTAAATTGACTTTTAGATATTTTCTGTGATTTCTCTTACTTTCACAAACTGAGCCATTCACGCCTGCATTCATGTACATTCACCGGCA